CGAGCCTGCTTGGTGGCCTGCCCGCAGAGGCGGGCCCCGCTCCGAGGGCCCTCCCTGAAGGAGGGGCGCGGAAGAAAGGGTCCCGTCCTTCCTTACTGCCGCGCCGATCCTAGAAAGTGAGTCTTCCGGGTGAAGGCATGGATGGGAGACCAGCAGGAGATCACGGGCTGTGAGGCCAGGAAGTCGACAAACATCCCGGAGGAAAGACAGCAGGGAACCCCTTGTGCAAGGGGTCCGGCTCTGGCCAGCGCACTTTTGCCTATTTTCAATCTCCTCCAGGGGTGAAGTTGAACTCAGGAAGAAGTGGGGGGAGGGAGCTATCCTGAGGTCCTGAAGCATCCTAAGGACGATTCCTGGAGGAATAGCAACAGGAGTCTGGCTGTGCCTTTAGCAGACTGAAGAGAGAATCCAGTGCAAGACACAGAGGTGTGCGCAGGATTCCAAAGTCCATCAGACAGCTCTGGCTGTACTTGTGCAAAGCCCACCTTAACTGGGTGCCCATGACCTGCTAGACCAGAACCAAATAACTCCTACTAAGGATCTGTGGAATGCTGCAGCCCAGCCTATGATTCACTTCTCAAGTCATCCAACTTGCATCACCTGACCAAAGAACTGAGAATTTTGAAACAGGAACCCATCCATACCTAGTCCCAAAGATGCTATTCATTGTATAGTAGTAAAATTATAGGTTTGCTTTTTTTTTGTCAATGTGACACTGGTAACTTCACGCGCAAAGGAGGCAGCGGGGGCCTGGCCTCTGTCTCTCAGCTGCTTAGGGTCCTTCATGAAGATGCGAGGCAGCTGGTTGACCAGGATGGAACGTCTCAAGGCAGCTCCTCTCATTGGCACGGGGGAGAGGGCTGTTTGGGCCAGAGCACCCTTCCCGTCCCCAGCTTCCTCTGCTTGACGCATCAGGGCCTTGCGTTTCCATTTGCTGAGCTTTGGAGGATAAGGGAGCTCGACTGAGGAGGGGCAACTCAATCACAGGGCACTCTGGGCACCTCACACCCAAATGCAGTACCCTCCTGGCAGGTGCTGCCAGGCCCTCGCGCGCTCCCAGTCCACGGCCAGAACGGTGCTGGAGACCCCACGCTATTTCCCCGTGATCTGCCATGCCGCCATGCCCTTTGCTGGCTCCCTGCCCAAGCCAGAGCCCTCTGGGCATGCCCCCTCCACCCGTGTTCATCTGTACCTCCCCTTCCCCTCCTGTGCCTCTGGACCTGGGACCAGGGAGGGGTCCTCTTTCTGTACTCCCTTCCAGGGCTGGTTTGCAGTGTCCACTTTTGGGATCCAGCCCTCTGACTCTAGAATGAATTCCCTTCACCTCTCCAAAGGTTCACTCGGCCTTTTTCCTCTGACCAGCAGACGAGTGCAAGGCCTGTTAATTTTGCCCTGTGCTCATTTAGGTGGGTAGTTTTCAGGTTAGGATTTTATATGCATTACGAACGTATATGCACTGCAATACTGAACCGCATTCCTTAAATATGTTTGCTCGGCATGTTTTAGTTGTAAACCTGCATTTTACTGGTTTGGCTGTTAACTGGTGAGCTAATTTTACTGGACAAAATTTTGTAACTATTGTCTTTCTATGATGATGATGATGATGATGATGATGATGATGATGATGATTCCCCCATCACAGAGGCGGGATTGTGCAACCTATCTAGATGGAGCACCATCATACATTCCATTAAGCTAGACCGTCACACTTTTAATCCCAGACAACTGTCACTTTATTATAAAATACTCTATTTTGCATAGAAAAATTTAACAAGACTCTTAAAATAAATTAGTGTATGAAAGTGTGTCACCTAAGCATCTGAAAGGATGCCCAACAGGAAACCTAGTGAACAGTTCTCTGAAGCTGACGAGTTTTAGAGGTTGTTGTAGATAGTGTCACTGCAATGCTGTTGCATGGAAGGGGCTTGGTGGTCGGAGAAGCTTTTTTGTCCAGGGCTCCTAAATCCTTCGGAAGGAAAAAGCAAACCTTGGTTTTGAGGAGGGGAACTGGCTGCTGCTCTGGGGGTGGGGGACTGCAAAGGAGCCAGAATCGCTGCACCCAGGAGGAACAACCCCCTTGCAGGTTCCTTCCTGTGCTTAAAATGCTGCCAGTTAGAGAGGCCATCTGCAGGCCTGCAGGCGCCTGATCCCGCTTGCAGAGGAGGCCTTGAGAGGGAGGCACTTTTCTAAGAAGTTGGGGAGCTCCCGCCCTTTGCCATTTGCTCTCCAGACTTCCCCAGAGGACTGAGTGGTGACCGGGCAGGAGCAGCCTCCGTGCTGGCCCTTTGGAGAGCCCTGGGCTTTGGCCCAGGAAAGAGAGCAGAACCATTGGTGGAGCTGTTCCCCCCATCCGGCTGGGCCTGACTAGGCTGTCTTGGCCAGACCCTCTTCTCTTGCTGGCACAGACCAGATGCCCAATGGCCCTAAGGTCTTCAGCCAGAGAGCCAAAGATGATTCTCCCTTCCGTATTCCAGAAGGATTCAAGGTGGGGCAGGGTGGGCACTGCTGGTTCAGGAATGGAGAAGACTGGCCAGTCAGCCCTTTTAGGTCCTGAGGTTCTCTCTCTTGCAGGCCCTCAAGGTGCAGGATGTCTTCCTCCTCCAAGGCAAGGAACACAAGAGCCTTTGCCATCCGTCTCCCACAGTGTCAACAGTGGTGGGTCTGGGAGAGAAAAGGCATGCAGGCAGTTACTGCATACGGGGCCCCCAGCTGAGCTGCTGGGCCAGGCCTAAACCACGAGGAAGTCCAAATGGCCACAGGGACTCCCCAGTGCAGGACAGCAGACCCTCAGTCCTGGGGCACCCTCATTCTGCGACATGGAAGGGAAGCTTCACCCTCCCGCCCCAGTCCTGGAGTAGCTGGGCAACAGCACCTCCCAGTGCCCATTAAGCCCCCCTGGACCTCCTCCTCTCTGGCCCTTAGATCCTTACCAAGACTGGCCGGCCCCTCGTCCAGGCAGAGGGGCGTCCTTCTCCTCCCTGCCCTCCTTCAGACTCAATTGCTCTGTCCTGTTGGGAAAGAAAGGAAGGGCTGCAACGGAGAAAGCCCCTTGCAGGGGCAGGAGACAGGAAAGCGGCTGCTTTGTGAGATGGGGAGGGAGCCTTTATGGGGAAGATGGGGTAGAACAGCTGAGCAGGCCACAGCTGGCCTGGGCTGCATTCGGGGGTCTTGGGGAGTGCTCTGGCTCCCTATTTCTGCTTAGGTACTGCAGAATCACAGCCTTGGTTTCACAGGCATTGCCAATCAGCCTCTTCCTCATTTTGCCATCGAGGCATCCAGGGGACGCAGTGGGTTCTCTTTTCTTGGGCTCTGACTGCAGCAAGCAGAGGGAGAGGGTACCCCGCCTCGAACCCTTGAATCAAATTTTGCACAGTGCATGTAAAAAACCCACATAGTTTGTAAGTAGAGCTTCATGAGACCATTAAAAAGAATCCCCCATGTGCAATCTGAATAGTGAGTACTTTAGCCCCACTCAGCCCCCTGGGTAGACACAGCCAGAGCCTGCAGGGCCCGCGGTTGTTCCTGGATTCTGACCGTTCCCGATCCTTCTCACGGGGCCCTGGTTCTGCTGCCTGCACAAGCCTCCTGCCACAAAAGGGTGGCACCTGGGAGACCACTTCCTCCCTGCCCAATGCTTACCCATCCACCTCCATTTTCTTGTCTTGCTGCGTCCTCCGCCAATGACGCCAGCACACCACAGCCACCACAATGGTGACCATCGCAGCACAGCAAATGCCGATGGTGAGGGCCAGGATGTGGACCTCGGAGAAGCTCACTGTCCAGACACAACAAGGGTGAGTGAGGGGGAGGGACACGAGCGCAGCAGCCCCAGCCACCTGCTGTCCATCCGGCCCACTTGCCTTTCAGGACGACACTCAGCTGGATCTCGCCGATGACACCATCCACGTCAGGTGGGTTCTTCACGTGGCACTGGAAGGTCCCGTTGTCCTTGGGGCTCACGTTGTGGAGCATAACAGAAGCGTCGTTTTTGTGTACGTTGCCATCCCAGGTGAGTCTGCCCAGGAAGCGGCCCGATTTTGAGGGGTAAGCCTGGTAATTGTAGTAGAGCACCTGGAACACAGCCAAGAGAAGGCGTTGCGAATGGAGTGAGGGTCCTTGGCTAGCGGCACATCCCCTACCCGAGTCCCGGGAATTCCTCAGGCCGTTTCTCTCCCGTCTCTGTGAAAGGAGTCTGGTGGGCCACGGGGGAGGGGAGGAGGTGGCCATACGGCCGTGGCACAGAACTTGCTTCAGAGAGCTCCGGGGAAGGGGGGATCCCTAGCAGCAACTGGGGGGGCTGCCCCAGGGCTCCTGTGCAAGAGAGCCAGCTGTGTCGGTCTGCAGGGAGAGTGCTTGAGAGCAGCGGGGGCATCTGATACCCTTCTGCTCAGAGGCAGCCATCGCTGTTGGGGGTCACGGGAGAGGCTGGACCAAGGCTGACATTTCCAGCAAATGGGCCCTTCTGGGATGGGAGGAGAGACGCCACCTGAGCCAACGCCAGACCTGCTTCCCCCCCCCCCGCCCCGCCCCAGCCTCCCCCACCCCCTCCCATTCCTCCACACAACAGACGCGGAGGGGAGCGAG